GCCGTCTGTCTTGAACTCGGCTGATTGCGATGGCTTGGCAAGGTCAAGGCAGCCTTTGGCAGGGCTTCGACAGCTGAGAGCGATTTTGCCTCAGAGATGTTCCGAGCCTAGCTTCTGCCAGAGGATGCCAGCGGTCGCAGAGCACTCCCCAGCTAAAAGAGAATCAAGGAAAGCACAGAAGTGGCCCTCCCTCATTTAATGCTTTCCGGGGCACCTTCGGCAAGCTAATTACCTTCCGGTCTTTCGCAGGTTTGCCTGCTCTTTGGACTGGTCAACATCTCGTGCTTTCCCTGACTCAGACCATGAATTCACGCATGCACACTCCCCGAACCTAAGCAGGCTAGCCTTCCGAAGGTAGAGTGCGCTCCAACCAGCATTGCCCTAGTAATAGTGACCAAGGGTCAGCCTTTGCTAGCAGGGCTTGTTGGGTTACGCCATCGAACCAGCACGCCAGCGAACCACCTCCACCAACGCGCCAGCTTCGAAGTCTCCGTGCGCGGTGCCGGTCTCTCGAACACAGCACGCACGGCCGCAGCTGTCCGGATTCCGGAGTCCTGGTGTTCCTATGGCTTATCAATGCCGAGTGGAGCAGCTTGAGGTTCACCTGCCAGAAGCTGCAGCAGGCTCGAGTACTTTCGGCGATTCGGTGGATGACAGTAGTCTGATAGCTTGTTCGGCGCGCAGTGAAGTTGCAGGAGCTCCGCGATCTGCGGCACGAGCTTGACTCGGAGGTGAGAAACAGCACCGGGAAGTCTGACGTAAGCCCAGTTGCAAGCACAGAGGCTTAGACACCCTCCGAGTGCAGGCGATCATCCATCGGTCCAAAGCAGCGGCGCAGGAGGTGCTCCTGGCAGCTGAAAGGACAGGGCATCGGACGTATGCCACTTTCTGTTTCGATGTCCAGCTCTCAGTGATTTGTTTAATGCTTTGATTGCTGAGCCTTTTAGCAACTATGCCGCTGCAACAATCCTATCGTAGCATGAGCAGGAATGCGCTTTTCGGAGCAGAGTTGCTTGCATCAGGACGGAGCGGCAGAAGTTGGAGGACAGGAGGGAAATGAGGGAACTCCTTGGCAGCACCGACTTGCATCCACCAGACACGGTTGTCGTGCCCCCTAAGTTGATGTCTTGCACTTGTTATTATGTCTTTCATGCCGCTATGCATGCTGCAGTCGTGTGGTCCCTTTTTACCGACAGTGATGTTTGCATGACGTGATGGCTTGCAGGCCAAAGTGTAATAATAAAGAGAATAAGAACAAGAATAATAGTAGTAATAATAATAATAGTAATAATAATAATAACAATAATAATAATAATAATAATAATAGAAAACACTCATATAATAATAATAACAATAATAATAGTGTGAACAGCATTAATATCAATATTACTACTACTAATAATAGTAATAACAACATACGAAGCACAGAAAGTGCGCCTGTTGCAGCAGGAAAGACCAGGTCTTAACAAGCAGATGACCGGCAACGTCCCGCAACAGAAACGTGGTTCTGGCGATTCTAGCGGACATGTACGGCAGCTTGGAGTCACGGGCCGCTGACTAAGAAAGCATATTCGGAAAACGCCAAGGTCCGATGCAACAACAACTCCCAATCATGCTCCTGGTCCTCCTCCTGCTACTACTTTTAGCACTCGTGCGGCCGTTTCTGCACAACGTTGCCGTGCAGAGCCGCACAGATCCATGCAGATCCACAGTGGTTTTTGACGTTTGCCCACGACATATCCTCTCGGGGCTTGCAGGGTTTGGGGTTTGCCGACGTCTCCTTTGGGCTTTGTGGTTGGCCAATCAATATCTCAGTCGTTCAGGGTTTGGTGCTTTCCAACCAACAGTTCCCTTGTCGGGCATAGGCTAGGGATGTTTCGAGTTTAGGGTTTGCAAATCGGCATCCCCTTCGGCTTAGGGCTTGGGGTCCGCCAACCAACACCTCCTGTCAAGGTCAAGAAGTTCCGAGGCAAACCAACATCTCTTTCATCGTAAAGATGAAGTTTTTCAAGCACTTCGACCGGAGGAAGACCAGACTAACGTCCGCAAACCGCTGTTCGACTTCAAATCGGCTTGCAAGTGGCTCAAGCAAGACATTCTTCTGATGTTCAGCCGTCCCGAGGTGGCCTCTCCGTCCAAAAGCATGCCTGGTGGAACTCAGCCACCTTGTTGAGCAGCTCTCGCCGTATAGAGCGGTTACCATTGCACCTGTCCGCTTCGTCATGCCTCGCCTGCCGTTGACCTTTGGCACAAGGTGGTGACTTTGGGTCGGACGCGGGAGGTGCAAGCATGCAGTCGGGGAGATGCATCCTCCAATCGACGGCTTCCGCATGCCTCAAGATGGCTTCTGCGGCAAGCTCAAAGCATGAGCCGTTGTATGTCATGGATGCACACCAGCCTGTACAGGGGCTTCAGCTTTCGGTAGTGCCGCTCAAGGTCTTGACCAACTTCAATTGGGCATGGCGAACAGCACTGTTCGCCCGCCAAGGATGACCAATGGACAATCTTCGGCTTCGTCGCCTGAGACTGCAACCGACACACATCAGCCGCCAGCTCTGCGTGTGGCCGTCAGCCAGAGGAGACTTCCCGATCGAAGGCACGTCCTCGTGTTTGCAGTCTGCCACTACCGCCACGGCTACACACGCTACAGCGTGTACCTCGGGGTTGCGATGCTTGCGATCATGATGGAACGGTTTACAGTCAACACGATTCTCTTATGGTGGTGGGTACATCCGTTCGATTTGGATAGCTCCTACTGAGCCTACTGTAACATCCTACTGCGACATCTACGACGCCTGCGACCTTGACCTCGGCCTCAACGGCCTCCACCTTGTCTCTTTCCACCACGCCATCTCACGAGGCTATCACAACCCTGACGACCTCTACCAGCATGGATGCTGGCGATGATGAGAACATTGTCGAACGGGACAAGTCCCAGCTGCTGTATAGGCACAGGACCTCATTCTGAAGGTGCGATCCGCGGCGCTGGAGCACGAGCTCGAACATGCATATCGTGAGCTTAGCTTCGAACTTCGACATACTCCAAGTGCAGAGCACAGCTCAAGCGCCGAATAAATCGTTTGCAACAGCGGCGACTGGGCGGGCGTTTCATCGGAGGCAAAACTGCCACCGTTTGCATAAGATCAGAGCGCGGGCCATGCTTCCATCCATGTGCAAACTGCACGAATGGTGTTTGAATTTCCGGTCAAAAACAACAGAGCGGAGCGGAGGCTTTCAGTGTATGGTGTACACATGTCATTTCAGGGGCAGATTGAGCAGGGAATCACGCAGCCGGCTTGAGCCCATCAGTGAAAAGGTATCATTCAAGTGTATGTGCGTACGGACGGACGTACATATGCACGTATGTCTGTATACGTAGATGTATGTATTGTATAGTAGCTGTATGTTTACTGTATATATATATATATAGTAATATAACTACAAAATGCACATGTGTGCCGCAATGCGCCAACGCCCTGCTTGACAAGCAGTGGAATATAAGATTTTGATGGGGCAATACCGGGCGCTTGAACATAAGCAGGTGTTGCCGTTGCCGACCGTTCTACTGAAACCTGCATTATTTTGCGGCATGTGTCTTGGCTCTGCCCTACCCAGCACACATCCACGTGGCCTATCATGTCTCTTTGACTTGAGATCAACATTTTTTGCTGAACCGGCCAACGATGCATGCCAAGAGATGTCAAGAGGAGCAGCTGGTGGTTGTGCGCTGCAAGAGCGAAGAGACTCAGGACTTCCTGCCATTGCATGGTCCATTGCCCTGAACCCAAAACCCCCTAAGCCCTCAAACCCTACACGGAGCCGTAAAACATTCCTACTACCAATAACGGTAGTCCGAGAACAGGGCTCAAAATAACAAGCCGTCTCAGTCTGAGTGTCAGAGACGGTCGGAGATTCTTGTCGATTCCGATTTCAGATCCTTCAAGGGGGTCTAGGTAGGGAAATCCCATGATGAACCAGGGTTAAGGGGTTCAGGGGTTTAGGATTTAGGGTCAAGGGTTCGTTCAGGAATATACTGAACGTTATTGGTGGTCATGGCAAATTAATGGTTTTGGACTTTCAGAGCCTCTGTAAGTTATGAAAAGTCGGATTCACCGTCTGGGCTGCAAATGTCGTGTAGGATTTGGCGCGTTTTGCATGTTAGCAGATGTAACACCACAGGAAGCATGCGCTGCCCGGGAGGCGCTGCGTTGTGCCGAGGCTGACTTGCATAAACTTCTCGCGGTGGATCGGAAAAGTGCCGGGGTTCTGTAGAGAGTCCGCCCTGCATGCCACGTGGCCCTGCCTCCAGCCGTTGAAGCAGGAGTCCAACAAGATCCAACAAGCGTGATGTTGGAATGAATGATTCTCCCACCTTGCCGTCTCAGTTTTTTTCATGGTCAGGTCCAGGCACAGCTCTTTGCGCAGGCCGCTGCACTATCATGTGTAGATATGGGTGAGCTAGCAACACTAACTATGGTGCTTGGTAGCCATCCGTAGCCCGCTGGACTTGTTGGAACTTTTACGGCGTTGCAACTCTTCTTGGCAGAGCCGGAAACGCCCGGCAGTATGACATTCCGGGTGGTCCAAGACATGGACACATTCGTACTTTGTTCCCTGCCCGGTGTGCAAGCCCGACGTCGAGCCTAGATGGATTGGGCCTGAAATCCTCGTAACTATTGTCGGTTCCTGATCTTGATGTTGCCACGACGTTTCAACATTGCCAAGGTGAACGAGATCGTCTGTCAAGCACGCAGACACACACAAGGTAGGTAGATAGGTAGGTAGGTAGGTAGGTAGGTAGGTAGGTAGGTAGGTGATAGGTAGGTAGGCAGGTAGGTAGGTAGGTAGGTAGGAAGGTGGGTAGGTCGGAAGGTAGGTAGGTAGGTAGGTAGGCAGGCAGGCAGGTAGGCAGGCAGGCAGGCAGGCAGGCAGACAGGTAGGTAGGTAGGCAGGTACAGGTAGGTAGGTAGGTAGGCAGGGAGGCAGGGATGCAGGCAGGCAGGGAGGTAGGTAGGTAGGTAGGTAGGTAGGTAGGTAGGTAGGTACGATGCACACTTCGATGCATCATATGCGCACACGCACACGCGTGGTACTGGCAGTTGACCTAAAGCTCCTTGAGATAGGATTTGTATGAAGGGCCAATTCCATAGCCAAATATGCCTTCGCGAGTGTTCCGCGATGGTGCCGCCAAAGTAAAGTATTTTTGGGCGAGATTTCTCCAATTAGCCGACTTGCCATAGGACTGTTAAAGTTGCTGCCACAACAACAGCTATTACTACTACTAGTACTACTACTACTACTACTACTACTACTACTACTACTAGCACTACAACAACAACTACTACTACTACTACTACTACTACTACTACTGCTACTAGTAGTAGTAGTAGTAGTAGTAGTAGTAGTAGTAGTAGTAGTACTACTACTACTACTACTACTACTACTACAACTACAACTACAACTACAACTACAACTACAACTACAGCTACTA